TTGGATCAGTTTACTGCAGAAACTCTATAATCATGGTGGAGGCACCAGCCCTGGAGGGACTGAAAAGATGTGCAGATGTGGCTTGGCAGTGCTAGGTTAATGTTTAGACTTGATGATTGTAAAGGGAAAGACAGAACTGTCCTACTGTTACCCAGTGGGTAAACTGAATTCATGCATCAGGGAGAAAATCTTGTTTTGTTCTAGCTTTGTTTGTTTGTTCGTTGGGGTTTTTGGTTTGGTTTGTGGTTTATTTTTCCCAGTGTGACTGTTTAAAGATTAAAAGGTGTGCAAATGTGAACGTCAACAGCTTGTTTGGAACAACTCCATGTGTAAGAGTAAGTGAGGGGGTTTATTCTGGATTAGATTATTTCACTTGCAAAATGTATCTTATTCCAAATAAGAGTTCCCCAGAAGAGGAGGTTTTTCACCAAAGGTGTTTCAGTCAGTTTTACCACATAGGAAGAAAATGTATAATGAGCTATTTTAATATAAACACACTTTCTTCAGTAGGAGATATTGCATTGTATCTTCTCAGATATGCTTGCAACCTACTAATAGGTGAAGTTGTCATGGATATAACAGTAGTGAAATTTGTACTAGTCATGATTTCAGTGACTTCTTGTCAGTTTTGGGATAGTTGTCTATTAAATTTAGAAATACAGTCTTAATTCAGAAGAGCACTTTACCCGTTAATATTTGGTAATTGCCAGTTCTTCCTGAGACACTTGTTATAAAATCACATTCTTCAGGAAAAAAATTATTTGGATTTTTTAATTTATTTTTACTTCTTTGCACAAGTCCTTAGATTTTAGTGGTTTTATGTCAGCACTATATTGTTTCACTTGCTGCAATAATTGGTAACAGTCTGTTCTCAAGTGATGCTGCTAAAGAGGAATAATCTGGTTCCTCTATCATTTTACTGATGGATATTACAAGGCCTTTAGCCTCACCTCCTCAAGACCTTGCATGCTTTTCTTGTACTTCTTTCCTGGGAATGTCTGTTAGTTTAGTCTGCATTTCAAGTGCTGGAGTCTAAAGGTAGAGGATAAAGCGAGCTCACCTTTACTCATTACACCTAGAATAGTTTTAGAGATTCTGCAGATTCTGCTTCCATTCATAATACTGTTTACAATATCGAAAATTACTACAGAAAAGTGGCTTTCCTCCAACAAGAACCTCCTCAAGAGCTATCTAGTCACTTAGAAATCTCCCTGTTGCCATCAAGTTATTCTCTCATTTCATGTCTAATTGAGTAATGTATCTAATCCCTCTTTGAACTGTTGCCTTGGGAGTGTGAGTAGTGTTTGTCACTAGAAATGATTGCACGTATTTTTAGGGAGCTCCATAAAATAATATAAAATATTATGTCAGCATATAATTGATGTTTTACTGTAGATAAGACTCACTAGAACTTTATGAAGACCTCCTAGCTGAGAGGGGAATTCGCAGAAGCGAATTGGAAGAAGCTAGCCTCATGCCTGCCATGCACTGCTGTGATGATGTAGAGGTGAATTAGAGAACATCTATTTGCCATCATGCCTATTTCCTGAGCAAATACCACAGATACATATCAAATTCCCTCTCCTAGAATAAAGCATAGCCTATGGGAGTCTGTCAAGACAGCAGTCACTAGAAAACAGGGCTGTGTCTAAATGTTAATCTGTTCCCAAAATATCTCTCTTTCTCCTCTCTTTCTGAGTTTCATTATTATTAATGCAATTTCAGTTTTGCCCTGCTTCCAATTTCATTAATTACCTTTCAAAAGATGAAAGATGTTAAGATTTGGAGCATTCTGAAGGGGACATTGAACAAACCAAATTAGAGATATTCCTTGCCACAAAGTCTCCTATTGAAGCCTGTTTTGTAAAAGGAGCTAAGTATATTAAATTGTTAAATGATAAATTAGGTGTGAGCATTAATGGTAATGTATAGTTAACCTAGTTTGTGCTATCTGATCCAATTAATTTATATAAATGCAATAGCGTCTTTGGAGTTAATTCAGTTAAGCCTGTGAGGCGAGCTCTTGCCCACTCAGATCTGTTGTACACGAATGTTGGGGGTTGAATTGTTCCCTTTTCTTTCTGTGGAATTTTCTCCCATTGTTATGCTAAGTAATTGTGGCTACACCTTAAAACGACAGATAATGTTCTCTCGTAGGGGGTGGAGGGTGGAGGGTGGAGGGGAACCGGAAAAGGAAAGGTGGACGGGGGGTCTGGAGCGGGGGACTCGCTCTCGCTTGGCTCGTGGAGTGGGAGGACAGCCCGGGGCCCCGGTCTGGCATCTCCCCTGCCATCCCAGCGCTGAGATCCACGCTCCCTGCCTTTGGACATCGCTC